AGATCTATTATTATATTTTCCATAAAATATATAATATAATTGATTAATTAAATTAATTCTAACATCGTATTCTTCTTCTTAGAAAATGTGATCGATTTGTGGAATGATACGGAGGATCCGTTCTCATAAGGTATCTTATCAGAATTTATGAGAGGAATTGGAAACGTGCATGTGGATGTAGCATGAAAAATAAGGATATACAAACTAAAAGTAGGAAGGTTATAAAATGCAGTTAGAAGCTTGAGTTGAAATGAGCCCCTCAAGTAAAAAACTTCTCACGTCCAATTCCCTTAATCCTCACGTTGCTATACACACGTCCTTATTATTTATAACATTACTCTACTCTCTCCACGTAACTCCTTCATAACATGTCATAATCATCCACCATTAAGTTATACTCATTCATTATCACGAAAAGGACTAAATATAACATAATCAAAATTTGTCTTTTTTTTTTTTCCTTTTCTTTTCTCAGAAAACATAAAATTTTCAATACTATCCTTTTTCATTCACAGTACATAATTCCAAACAAAAAAAATGTTATGGAGTGATTTATATATAACCATTCAAAATTTTCCCTTGGATGTGTGGATATGGTTTGACATTTTTGTTTGAACGAAGATAGGACCATAAAATTAAAGTGATGTTTTTGGTTGGTTTCCTATTAAGAAAATTGAAGAGAGTGAGTGATTAATGAAAATTGAGCATGACTAGGAAGAGAAATTAAATAAAATTAACAAGTAATCACTAAATACAAATTTAGAAATTTACTTGGATGAACAGTAATATTAGCTTTCATAGAAGAGAGATGGTCGAGAGTTGACCAGGTTGAAATTAATCTCATTTTAAGTCATACGAAAATTTCAGTTGTATATTAAAAGTTATTTTCATTATAACAAATTATCTAATAATCCTATAAATAGCTTAGTATACTTTTCTCACCAAACATAAATTTTGAAAGATATACTCATGAAGTGAGCTTTTCCTATAAGGTTATAAACATTTCAGGTTATAAATAGAAATGTAAAATAATTATTATTTTAATTTTTTTCTAATGAAAGGCAATTTATTTTTATCTTTATAATCTCACTTTATATTATTTTTTATTAAATAGAAATATTTTAATATTAGTCGATAAATATTTGTATATTATTATAATAAACATGAAAATAGTTATAAAATTAAATAGATAGTTTTATATTGTATACATTTTTTATTTATAATATTCTTTTATTAATTTAAACTCATATATTTAAAAAAAATTATAATTTTATAATAAGAAACTTTATAATTATATATGTATGTATATATTGTAAAATATAGATTTATGTGTGATGTAAAAAGTTATTCATTTTTAATAAATATTTAATTCTATTTTTTATTTAAATCTTTTAAATAAAAATTTTCCTTCATAAGGTATCTTAAATGAATAAATATATTTTTCATTATATTTTTTTTTCATTCATTCTTCCTAAAGGAAAATGAACTCATCAACTTTTCAATATTGGTTTCACTTTTTTTTAATCCAAACCTACTATTTATTATTATTATTATTATTATTATTATTATTATTATTATTATTATTATTATTATTATTATTATTATTATTATTATTTGACTGTTGTAATTTAAATATTTTCTACAAAATGATTTATTTTCCATTTTAAAAATTGAAAAAAATAAATTTTAAAGGGTAGAAATCGTGTTACATTATAACTTTAATTTTTTTAAAAGTTTTTTTATAAATTAAATATTATAGGTTTTTATTACAAAAAAATAATATCATATTATTAAATTAAGTAATAAAATAGTTATTATGAATTTATATTAATAAGTATTATTATTAAGTCAAGGATGTAAAACGTGTTCTAAAAATAATAGGGGTCGACCGATCTGATACATATTTTTAAATGGATTATGTTTTCGGTCCTTATTTTATCACATCTGATAATAACGAGCCAGCAAATTATTTGATTCTTTTTAACAATTATTAAATTAAAAATATTTTAAATAAAATTTAAAAATACAACTTAATTTTATATTGATGAAATTAATTTAAATTTTAATATAATTATTAAATATATTTATATATAATAAAAAAATAATATTTATTTTTAAATATAATTATACTATTTAATACAACAGATGTTTTGTAATTCTAAGGCTACTTATCCTAAAGTTATTAAATCTATGGCATAAATGGGTCAAATAAATGATTTTTTTTATTCACTTATTTTCCAACCATAACTCTTATAATTTTTCTTCCACTCATTTAGAGCTTAGAAGTAATATATTTTTATTCTAAATAAAACCTATATTACGTTATTTTTAAACAATTTATACTAATTTTTTTTATAAGTTTTGTTCTTTTTTAGAGTCATCTATATTTTTATTTTTATTTCATCTTCTGACAACTTAAAAAATAATTTAATTATTATAATTAAATATTAATTTAATTTAATATTTAAATATAAAAATAATTAAAATAATTGAATATTTATCTTGATACATATAAAAAAATTATCTATTACAAACAAAGAGAAAAATTACATTTGTCTTTGTAAAAAAATTAATATTTAATAAAATTGGGCAATGTAATAAAAATTGAATAATATATATAAATAATATTTCTCACGTTATTATTACAAAAAATTAAAAATTAAAAATATTTATAATTTTTTTTTCATAATAGTAATGTTTTATCACATTGATCTATCATATTTATACATTAATTAATCTGTTATAAATATATTATCCTTAATTATAAATTCATGAAGAATCTCAATCACAATAGAAAAAAATAAACTTATATTTATAAATAAAAATTAATTGTCATATAAAATATTTTTTTAATAATTTATATTATAAATTTTTATTAAAAATATAAAATTTTAATCATTTTTAAATTTTGGATATGATGAATATTTAAATAAAATTTTTTGGTTTAAAAAATTTAAACATAAAATAATAATAATAATAATAATAATAATAATAATAATAATAATAATAATGAAAAAATAAATAATTAGTTGATATTTTAGACTATTAAAAAAATAAAAAATATCTGCAAAATAAAAAATAAGAGATTATTTTTTATTGAAATATTATCTGTGAGATAATTTTATTTACTTGTTTTTTTTTAATAAACAACGTTGATAAAATTTAAGAATTTCTATCTCACGTAATTCAATTATAATATAAATTCTTATTAGATTCGAATGTTTTTTTTTATTTTATTATTATTATTAAGCAAAGAGTTTCCCTACTCTGTTACTCGTCCAAACCACCACTCACCATCTCTTCACGTACCATAATATGAAAATAGGACCGGCACGAAAATTACAAAAAAGGCTAAATTAAAAAAAAAAAAAAAACTTAGACTTCAAATGAAGACCAAATTTTTATCTGATCTATTTAATCTTGTGACTAAATGGACGTTACAAGTTGATCCGTAGAGTGAACTTACTTATTTTATGAGAAAATAATTATATTTAAAAAAATTATTTAAATATATATTAAATTTGTGTATCAAATTATTACATTCACACACACACACACACACACACATATATATATATATATATATATATATATATATATATTATTTTTTAATTTTCAGAATGAATCAAAATAACTTCGACCTAAAAAATAAGGTCCATGTAGAATACGAGCAAAATCAAATCCATAAAAATTGATAACTCATGAAGCTACACCGATAGTCCTATTTTCCACTTTCTATCATCATTCCTAGCAAACCTAAGCAATGAAAAAAATTTCAGGAGTGTTAAAGGTATTGGGATTTATTGGATTAGCGCATTCTTCAAAATATTTTGCAAGTAGTTCTTTTGCATTTGGTAAATTGATTCAGGATATAGGGATGATACTTCATTTTAAAGCAAGAAAAGCCTCTATAGCATAGCACTCCAAAAACACTTTTAAGCACTTGCATTTATTTCACTTTAAAAAAAAAAACAAAAACTAACAGCTTATAAGATATCAGTTCTATTTGCAATTAGATTTTTTTTTAAAATAATTTATTCACAATTATTGTTGAGGGTGTGTATCTACCAACAAAGTTCAGCACAATTAATAGATAGTGATCCTTGCCACCCAAATAATTATTTTGCAGCTATCAATCGGTGGATATTCTTCTGATGAAAAAGAATTGTACTGGTGTATCTCTTATTTTACTGTTCTATTTATAATTACAAAAAAATTATTTATCATCGTATATATCTTTTTACATACACTATAATATCCCCTTTTTAGTATGTATGAGAAAAAAAATAGAAATATACCAGTTTTATTTTATGTTTGATACAATAATTTAAAATTAAATAGAACATTGTTAGAGGATATAATTAAACAGAGAAACCTTCTTTATATATATGAAGTTGTCATCATTATCCGCATACATATGGTGCATGTATAACAATGGAGATAGATATGCAAATGTGTAGATCCAGTGGTAAAGGTTCATGATGATTCATTGTATACAGTGGTCCAACACTAATATCACGGGTTGGCCAGAACAAATAACCGAAAATGGTGTGGGGGCAATGTCACATGTAATAGGTCAGGTACAAACTTGGCCCTATAAATGGGTCCACGCAAAACCGCTGAGTTTCTCTAATAAGATAGATGGCTAAGTTCAAACAAAAGCATGTTGCAGCCTCCGAATTGGAATAAAATATATGTATAAATGTCACACATGTTCTCACGGGTACGGATTCATATATATATACTCAGACTAAATAAAAAAACTCGTGAAGATGCAAGTTCATTTTGTTTATAGTAATACAATTTGATGATAGTCAATATTAAGTGTCTGATATAAAACTAAGTAAGGGAAAACATGGAGCCCATGGTAGCCTTTTTGTTTTGGTCACAAAAGCCAAACCCTATGCAGAATAGAGGATATGACAATACCCAAAATTAACATGGACATGCACACGACACATAATACTAAAGCTCTATCATAACTATTAGAATATTAATTATTACATAAGTAAGCTCCTAATAATGGCTGCTTGGGCACTGTTGGAGTCTGTGGTGGCTAAAAGTTGTGACAACCGGTCACTTAGGTCATCAACCTCTCTGTGCAAGCTTTTGATGTAGTTGCAAGTCTCCTGCAACACCTTAGAAGCTGAAACCTACACAAGAATGAAAATAATTATAAGAACTAATTTCATTATTTGCCACATTTTGCATTTAATGCCACTAAAAGTATATATAGTCAATGATGGCAAGATGGAATATCCAAGTCCCACACCCTCACAAGTTGTGGGTAAAAAAACATTAAAGGGAGGGCACAAGTGTGACTTATCTAGCAAGGCCAACCAAAGCCACAGAAAATCTGTGTTTTTGTGTCTTCTGCATGTGACTTGTTCGTGTGAGAGAGAGAATAGTGAAAGAGATAGCAACTAAACAAGCAAAATTATTATTATCAAAATGGGTATGTACAACTCATTATTAATTAGGGTGCAAGACTGGAGGAAAAAAGGTATATAGAAAAAAAAAATGAGAGAGAAACTGAAACAAACGAAACAATCATTTACAATTGTAAAGTTAAATAAAAATATGAACAAGGTAGAAAAAAGCTGGAAGAGAATTTATGTGTATAGATAATATACAGTAATAATAATAATAATAATAATAATAATAATAATAACATGTACGATTATTATTATTATTATTCTGATGAAAATGATTACTATTATTAGCACCTTGTCGGAACGTCTTGCGCGAAGCTCAGGGATAAGTTGTTGTAACTTGGAAACGAGATCAGTGATCTGAGCATCAGTGATCTCAGTGGAAACACCCGATTGTCTGGAACGAGATCTTCTGCTAGACATTGTGAATTAAAGGGTTAATTGGTTGAGAATGATGAGCGTGTCAGAAATAGTATTTGGTGCTGCGGTGTGTGCTCTTGATTCGTTGAAGATAGGTGAAAGAAAGAGATAGATATGTAGATAACGTGTGTGTCTATGCGTGATAAGGAGGAAGTAGTAGTACTGCTTAGTTTAACTACTATAACTACCAAGCTACCTAGAGTAGAGGGTAGAGGAGGAAGGTAGTACTTATCGGAAAAGGGAGGAATAGGAAGAGAATTTGTCAGAGTAAGAAAAGGAATAGGTGCAGAATTGAGGAATAATGAAGGAGAAAAGAAGTGTTGTTTGAGTTGAGATGAAAAGTGGGAGGAGAGAGAGAGAAGAGGAGGGTAGGAATGAGATGAGAGAAAGGGTTGAGGGAATGTGTCAGTGGGTGTTGGAAGTTGAAGAGGACAAGTGCATGGGAAAGGTATTGGGTGGGGATGTTGTTAAATAGGGTTATTGTGTCTGAGTGTTGTGTTGGAGAGAGAGAGTGGGGGAGGGAAAGGGAGAGATACGCCATACTGTGTGGTTTGTGCTTATGTCCCCAAACTGGGGTTAGAGTTGAAGTGTAAGGTGAGTTAAGGGAAGTGTGCTTGTTCACCCAACGACGCGGGACCTCGCTGTGTCAGTCTCACCACACAACCCCATGTTATGTTATTACTCCCTTGTCATTTTAATCATTTCACTTTCCTTTCTTTTCCTTTCAAACTTAACTTAAGAACAAACCATTAACCACTCCTCCTTCCCTACCCTCAATCTTGTAGGCCACTTCCCAGAGAAATTTTAGGGATCAAATCACAGTTTAAGGAGCTTCCCTTTTCAATGTAAAAATCATTAGTCAATAACAAATTATTCTTTTATCACTTTTAAGATAACTATATTATAAAACTTTACAAAAAATAATTATTAGCATATCTATAATATTAATATGTTCTACGATTACAATACAAAAATACAAAAAATTATGTGGTCTATGTACATAGGCCTTACTTGTTTGTTTATTCATGAAAATTTTATTTCATTATTGGTTCATTAGAAATTGATAAAGACAGGAAGGTTTTTGGGGAGTTAACATTTTATTTATTTCATGAACTTCCAATAGATAACTAGGTTGTTTAGACAACATGCAAACAAAAATGTTTCAGATTTCTGGATAAACATTATTGGAAGTAAAACAAATTAGTTCATGAAAGGAAGATAGGTTTTTTTAAGAAATACATGCTGGTCCCAAGCAAGATTAATCGAAAGTAGGAAACTTGCAGTTAGTGATAGTGAAGTTTGAGGCAAGGGAGTGGTTTATACCTGATATCCATTGGAGATGGAAGAAAAGAGAAACTATACTTTGAAAGTAAAGCTGTCTCTCAAATTTTAAAAAAATAAAATAAATTTCAGTCTATAAAAGTTCCATTTTTTTTACAAACCATATCAAAGAGATATTCTTTCTGACTATGAGAAATATATGAATAACATAATTATATAAAAGACTTCAATTCGAGTGGACCACTAATTAAATTAAAATAATTTTATGACTGCAGTTTAAATTTTTCAAACGATTACTTTTCATCAGAAAAATGTATACATCATTCATTAATAAAAGAGAAAATAAGAAGAGTTTGAAAGAGAATTTATATATATATATATATATATATATATATATATATATATATATATATATATATATATATATATATAGTTGTATTCATGTGGCTGTGGTTCCAATCACATGATCCATATAATAATATTATCTTCAAAAAAATATTGAGCAAAATTTGTGTAAAATGAAGATATTTTTGTTTTGAAACAATTACATAAAAAATATTATCTAAAGACTTTATAAGTGTATAAATAACTAGTAAGTATGTCATACATTGGGCATGTTTATAAATAAACATAAAATATCATAGGTGCCATAGAATAAATTGTCATTGAAATTAGATAAATAAAAAAATTAAAAAGTACCAATGAGTTTATTTAAAAAATTAAGGGTGATAAACAAACTAGTTTACTACTAATTACTATCGCTGTATATATAACTTAAAATTTAATGAAGGTAATAAAATACTTTCTGAATTTAATTGAACACATGAGAATTGGAGAAACATACATGGCCAGCATTACTAAAAAAAATAGGTACATATGAAAAAAAACAAGGTATGAACAAGTTCAGATGACATCTCAAAGAAGAAATGAGGACAAACCTAAGAAGATGCATTCACCTACAAAGTAAAGCTCTGCAAACTCAACATCTGCTATTTTCTTTTTGAGTCATGGCCAGAGATAAATTCTACACTTAATTTCCTCTTTCTCTATTTTGTGTTTCTTGAAAACACATCTACTTTAATGTTCAATATTTTTTATCACAAAAATAATTATAGTTTTAGTTTCTATAGAATATTTAATTTGATTGATTTTTATTTTCATTTTTAGTTAGCTTCAAATAATAACATATTTATTATTATAGTGCCAATGTGTGAACAAAATATACAGTTATTTTGAGACATAAAGAGTACTTCTTTTTAACTGGGAGTTAATGTATAATCTCTCAAGTAATTTAGGTAAATAAAATCTCCCACTATACTCTTTCATATGGATGGGTGTGAGACTAGAACTCTAAACTAGGATAATAAAATTATTTGTTAAACATGTCACATTATATCATAATTAATATTTAATATATAATAAATAGAGTCTTTATCAACATATTGAACCAAGATTTGAGTTCTGGTAGGACAAATATCTACATGTTCACATTTAGTATTTGACCGTGTTTCAAGCTGAATTAATTATCTTAAAAAAAAAATAGATACAAGTGAAATTCAATTACATATAAAATCGAATTTGTCTCAAAACTTTAGAGTGTTCTCGTTTTGGCCTTACAAAATGAATGTTAACTTTTTCCTTACCGACATGATTTGTTTTAAGAATTCAATCCATGATTCTAATCACAATTAATAAAGTACGTACAAATGTTTTTGTTTGAATTGGATTCACTTTCCTTTGTTCATACAATATTTTAATCTTTGTTCCGCTTTACTCATTTTGTTTTTCTTAAACAATTCTTTATTTGAACCTTATCCATCCCACTAAATTCTTATTAGTTATATCTTTTCGTGATGTATAGTTTTTTTTTTCTATTTTTTACTACTTAGGTAATGATTTCAACTCAAGAAAAAATTGATTATTTAGATAAAAATTTAAAAGTAATTAAAATTCAATTGATGAGAGTATTTTGATTACATAAAATAAGAAAATTTCAAAATTTATTTTTATTCGTTGATTTTTTCAACATGGTTAACTCAACTCAAACCAAATACACATGATACTAGTTTAGTTCGACTAATCTTGATTTGTTTGAATCAACCTACATATTTTGACCATTCTAAAATCATTCTGACGTGATTATTCTTAATTTAATTCATTTTGTATTGTCATAATCCAACTCATCTTAATTTGATCAAACTCATTCCAACATTATTCAATCATTCCTTGTCAAGTTTGATCCAACTACTCAACGTAATCCTAACTACCCACCCCAGTCCAATATATCTTAACTTGACTTAGTTGGTATGATCTTATTTATCTTAATCTGACATCTCTTGACCTGACACATCTTATCTTTCTGTGATCAATCTGTCTTATTTAGGTATGTCTTATTTAATTAGACCTAACTTGGTTTATTTGGATTTAACTCGACTCAATATAGTTCAATTCATCCCAACACAACCCGATACGACATGATTTATCTCAATATGTCAACTTAACCTAACTTAACTCAACCTTCCCAATCCATTACAATTTATTTTAAATATGTCTAATATTGTCAATCTATGTCTCAATCTCACTTATCTTTATCTAAATTATCATGGTCAATCTCGACCCAAACTGACTAATGTGATTAAGAGTCAAATACTAAGAGTTTGACCTAATTCACAAATATTATAGTGATATTTTTTATATTTGATAATAATTAAAATATTTTATTTAAAAAATTCAATGAATTTGATTTTCCTTATAAAAAATTGTTTAAAAATTTAACTCATTTTAAAAAATGAATTTTAAATTTAATATATTTAATTTTAAAAATTATAAAATATAATCTAAAATAAATTTAATTTGATTTTAATTTAAAATAAATTTAAACTAAATTAAACTAATATTCTGGGGAGGTTTAGATTTTTTTTGTAATTTTTATTATTATAAGATTATTAAATAATTTTTATAAAAATACTATTTTCTCATAAAAATGTTACTGAATATTTTATAATAAAAAGGTATTAAATAAAAATAACAATAAAATTTATTTATGATTATTATTGTATTTATAATTTTTATTTTTTAAATATTTATAAATAAATTATAATCTTATAGTTAAAAATTACAATTTAAAGCGATTATTATATTTTAAAAAATATATAAATATATTATAAATAAAATATAAAACAACTATACAAAATAATCGCATATATATTTTTTAGTTGATAATTAATTTTAAATATATAATATTATATTCAAATATAATAAAATGTTGAGTTGAATATTTATTTTTTAATATGAAATTTTACTCAAACTTTGTGAGTTAAGAAAAAAATAATAAAATAGAATTTTAATATATTTTTAATTTTTAATCGATTCTTAGTTTTTTTTTTTAATGGGTTCGAACAACTCTAATAGTAACAAATAACGTTATGGAATTAAGTGATATCTCTTATGCTATTTAATTTCATTTTCAATGGCTAAGCAAAATATGAACACCAAATTCTACATCATTCCCTTTGTAGATTCTACAAACAGTTCCATTCATTGTGCGAAAACAGATGCTTACAATGCTTAAACAACATTATTTAAATTATTATTTTTTCCTATTTTCAATTATAGATATTTTAAAAGAAGTATTTACTGTAAATTTTAATTGTGTAAAAAAATAAAAATAGCATAGAAAGTAAAACAATTTACTATTTGTACAACACTAGCTTATGATATAA